GAATGGACCAATTCATCCAGTGTGTGATACTCACCAAAGGCTAGCAAGATCTAGAATGAAAGTCGTCGAAGACGTTAGTAAACTGAACTTTGGAAGGCCGTTTTTTGTTTGTTGCGACCGCGAGAATCCACGTAAGTTCTGGCAGTGGGGTGATAGACAAGAGTTTCCAAAACCGAAATGCGGACACGAATTGAATGCTTGCGTACAGAAAGTCAAAAAGGAAGGAGAAAATCAAGGCCGCCTTTTCTTCTGTTGTCCAAACGATCGAGAAAAGTCGTGCGGATTTTTTGAATGGAAACTCGAGCTGGAAAACTCGTTCAACCAAATCCATTTTCCTCACGTTGAAAGAGTTGGTATATTGCAGAGTAATCCAGCGCTGTACACGTACATGGTAGCTGAAACTGGACTTACCTTTACTAGCGCACGGGAAAATCCGCACGATGCATACGCTGAATACATGGGGGAATTGCCAATTTCCTCACATACGAACGCTATGGGGGAACTGTCACTGATAGACTATTAGGAGACTATAATTAAGCTATTAAAACATTGTTATATTAACCCGAACAGAACACTTATATATATATATATATATATATATATATATATATATATATATATATATATATATATATATATATATATATATATATATATATATATATATATATATATATATATATATATATATATATATATATGTATATAAACCTAGTGAGTGAGTGAGTGAGTGAAATGTTGTAAATTCGCTAAATGAAATAAATCAACATTGTTTTTCCTTGAGTTCAAACAAAATTACTTCTTCGTCTTCGGCTTGTCTCAGCGTACTCATTTCCATGGGTATGGCGCGGACGACGCGGTGTCTTTGTCGCATTTTGCGAGTCAATTAAAATGAACGTAACGCACACTGACTCGTCCCCAGTCGTCTCTGTCAGGAACGCACACACTCCGAACACGAGCAAAATCGGTAGGACAATCAACCACATTAGATTTCCTTCACTTTTTCCGTTATACGCTCGTGTGCCCAGTAGCGGTGTTGTGTTCGCTTTATTTACTTTTTTTACATCATGCACTCGTGTGGTTACTGGGGTAGGGGTAAAACGCGGAAACGGAACGGACCGGCGGAACCGGAATGGCGGAATAGGAAAAACGGAAACGGAAAAGAGGGTAAAACGCGGAAAAGAAGGTAAAACGCGGAAAAGAGGGTAAAACGCGGAAAAGAGGGTAAAACGTGGAAAAGAGGGTAAAACGCAGAAAAGGGGGTAAAACGCGGAAAAGAGGGTAAAACGCGGAAAAAAAGTTTTAGAATAGTTTTTTCTTTACGAGGTAGGTATGTAGCTTGGTAAAACTATATTTATTTAAAAATTATACACACTAGTCCCTTCAACTATGATTTCCACGTAGGGCGTGTGTTATGTCATAAAAAAGCTACATACGTTTACGATATTCTGATACTATTAAATAATTCTGATAAATTCTGATAACTCAAGTATTAACCTCAATTAACCTACATAACTACTGGGGTGTATAATAATAGTAAAAAAGGGGGCCCAACTTGCAGAGAGGGGCCCCTGGAATTGTGGAACGTGGTAAATATTAAGGAATTTTCTACAAAATTGAAGTAAAAAATTGTATGAATAACTACATTTAAGCCCCCATTTACGCCCGAGATTGCAGGATTGATTGTGTTTGCGTATTTAAGATCTACTGAAACCAAAATCTGTGACTTTGCAAGCAATTGGGCAATTAGCATAGATGCGCGCAAACGTATCTTTGTCTTTCTGGCAATAGTGCTGGTTGGAGACCAAAACGTTTTCAGGTTTTAAGTTTCTATGAGCGATACTGTGGAGTTAATCGAGTGCGTTTACCACATCCCTAATACATACGACAAAAACATCAGCGAACGATTTGAAATCAAATTCATGGTCAATGAAGTGGTAGAACTCTCCAATATTGGTGACGCTTTTCTCAATTCCGAAGGGTTGAAAATCAAACATTACATATTCCATCATTAATGAATATGGGTTTTCTGTAAATCCTAAAAACCCAGGTATACTTTCGTGTCTCATTTCAAAAAGCAACTTTGCTTCCTTAAGAAATCGGTCTTTGGCAATTGACGATTCGCCTTTAAGTTTTTTAACAACAACTGTCTCCTTGTCATAACTTGCGCGGTGTATAGATCCATAGCTACCACTGCCAATTTCCTCCACGTTTCTTAATGAATTCCAGCTAAATGTTGGCAAACCATGATCGATTCGTCTTTTCTTAATGAGCCATGGAGTTTTAAAGCTTCCCAGTTTCGACATTTTAGTTGGCAATTAGGCACAAGCACGTGCCCGACTTTTTTTATTCAGGATTCAAACCATGAATTTCGTTCGTTTAGACTTTAGCCACTTACACAATAGATAGTTAACATCGGCGAGAACTTTGAAGTATCGTAAAGAAAAGAAACGCTTCAAGTATCAGTTAAACTAGTCCTTTCGTTAACTGTGACTGTCAAAAGTATAGTGATAAATGAAATAACATTACCCTGTCAGTTATATGAAGCAATAACTTGTATTTAAGGTTAAATCATATGATAGATTCCTGTTTCAGAAAAATTGTCACTGCGTGCTCAAATTTTTAATTACGTTTCTCAAATTTGGTACATGCAATGATAACTAACTGTAGAAGCTACTGTTTTAACGTTTTAGCCTGTAGTCGCAATGAGACATCTTTTAAAAAATAGCACCTCCTGCGCCACGAGATTTATAAACGACACACTGTTTAACTCAGGAGCTCCCAAAATATCATATTTCTCATCTCAAATGTCCAAAGAAGAAAAGTGTGTTCGCATTTTGTGTATTCGTTTTGATATAAAGCCGGCAGACAACTTGACTTATCTTGCGCGGATATAAGCGGTCGAAGAGATGCTTCTAAATAGAAAAATACATAATGCACTAAATCGAAAACGCGAACACACTTTAGTTCCTTTATTATTGATTAACATTGTGGTCAAGTTTGGGACGAATCGGATAAAACGTTCTGTCGTTAAACTCTTTTTTGTCGAGGAGATTGGGTAATTTTGCTTTGTCTTCAAATGACCATATAAGATTTGGCGAGGTTTCCACTCTTTCTGTCATTTCTCCGCCCCCAATGTAGCCTGCTCGCAGGCCGTTGTCAGGCAGAGGCTGGGGGCCTGTGAGCAGGTTACCCCCAATGTTAAACCACTTGTGGCCAAACCACAAAGTGTGAACTTTGCCGGCGTCAAATATCAAGGTGTGAAATTCACTAAAGTATAAGTTATTGTTCGGAGGCATATATCACTGCGACAACATTAGAAAGCTTATAATATAGTACTTACAGAGTCTCTCGAAGTTCAAGCTTTGCGCGATGTTGGCTTCAAGCTATGCGCGATGTTGGCTTCGGTGACTTTTCTACTGCGTTGGCGTTTTGGCTTAGACCGGTTCCGGTTTTTAGACCGTTTTTTTTTAGACCGGTTTCATTTACTAATTGTATTTAACCGCAAGAGGTCAGACTGACAATTCGAGTCAATCATAATTACAAGTTTCGCGCGAAGCTATTCAGTGGTCATAGCATTTTCCCCTATATCTCGGTCGCTTTTTAACATTTTCTTAAAAAAGTTGCTGGAATTGATAGATATATCATTACTTAATGATCTTTACTGTAGCTCAGAGCTGATGTTTGTTGAGATTGTATTTTCGAATAATCGGAGAACTACGTTAGGAGTTTTCTATAGGCCACCGGATTCAAACACCGAACCACTAATTGATCTTAGAAGTAATCTGGATAAACTGTCTACGTCTTACCTTGTGCTTTTAGGGAATTTTAACCTGCCTGATTTCTCATGGTCGAACAATACTGCTTTAAGTAACTCAGTTGGTTACTGAACCCACGAGGGAACATAATATACTTCATCTTGTTCTATCAACTTCATCTGATAGCATAAAAACCTATCAGTCGGTGAAAAGTTTTCAGACCATATGATTACGTTTTTATTAACTGGACAACCATATGTCCAGCTTAAATCCAAAAAATATGTTTATTGTTACAAAAAAGCTGATTGGTTACAACTGAAATTAACGTTGTCTCAAATTCCATGGGACTTAGCATTTCTTGAAGAGAGTATTGATGAGAATTGGAATTCATGGAAAGATCTGCAGTAGATGAATGTATCCCGAAAACAAAAGGTAAAAAAAGACAAAATGCGCCGTGGATTAATAAAGAGCTAATATCTCTATGTAGGAAGAAAAAGCTACTTTATAAAAAAGCAAAACGGAGCCAAAATGAAAGTACCTGGATTCGTTATCGTCAAATGAATAACAATTTGAAAAGGAAGTGCAATGAGGCTCGGTGGAGGTATATAACCGATTTAGCTCAAGATTTGACAGACAACAACAATCCCAAACCATTTTGGAACTTTGTGAAATCCAAGTGTAAAGGAATAAATAAATTGATATCCCTGAAAGTTGGAGAATCTGTTTTCACGGACGACCAAGGTATTGCAGATAGCATGAGCTCGTATTTTTCTTCTGTTTTTACAGTTGAAAATTATGATAATATCCCAGTGCTTGACTATATTGTGGACGAGAGATTAGAGAACATCCGTTGTCCGGTCGACGAAGTAGGAAAGCTTCTTCTAAATCTTAAGGACGACTTAATCTTCTTCTAAATCTTAAGGGACCTGACAATATCCCTGCACGTATTCTAAAGGTATGTGCAACAGAACTGGCACCTTCAATCTCACTTTTGCTAAATAAGTCATTGTCGATGGGCATGCTACCTATAGAGTGGAAAACTGCCAACATTACACCGATTTTTAAAAAAGGTTTGAAGAATAGTAGAGAAAACTATCGTCAGATATCTCTTACAGGGATTATATGCAAAATAGGGGAGAAAGTTGTTCGAAGTAGAGTTCTCGATTTCTGGTATAGAATGAATATTTTGAGTGAGAATCAGTTTGCCTATTTGAAAGGCAAGTCAACAGTAACACAACTACTATCAACTGTTGATGATTGGGTGAGATCTAGGAACTCCGGTGTGCCCACTGATGTTATATTTCTTGACCTCGCAAAGGCGTTCGATAGTATGCCGCACGAAAGATTGATTTTGAAGTTAAGAAGTTATGGTATCGAAGGGAGTTTATTGACATGGTTCAGGCATTTCATTACAGGCAGGAAGCAAGTGTTGTAATTAGAGGGACGTTTTCGGAAAGGTCACCAGTGTCTTCAGGCACTCCCCAAGGTACAATACTTGGACCAATTTTGTTTTTAATATACATTAATGATATAACGGACTGTATTTTATCTAAAGCCAAACTGTATGCCGATGACACTAAAATGTATAGAGAAATAAAAGATCCTGTCTTGGACACGCATATTTTGCAAAACAACTTAAACATTCTCGATGAATGGACACACACATGGCAATTAAAATTTAACGTGGAAAAGTGCGAAACTATGCGGTTAACCCACTCCAATGATACGCTAAAATCAAGTTATACTTTAGGAACATCAATCTTGAAAGACACAGAAAGCTTTAAAGATCTTGGAGTCACTGTTTCGCGTGACCTAACATGGAGTAAACATGTCAGTTGTATCACAGTTAATAAAGCAAACAAAATTCTAGGAACTATCAGAAACGATCAGTTAGTACAGCAAACACGAAGGTTTTCTCGATGTTATATATTGCTCTTGTCAGACCCATCCTTGAATATGCTGCACCTGTTTGGAACCCATATCTTGTTAAGGACATTCATGCAATTGAGAAAGTACAAAGACGAGCATCCAGGCTGCAAAAGAGAGGTGAGATGTCGTACGAAGAAAGATGCCATATCCTGGGGTGTACAACACTTTCCTTACGGAGGGATTATTTATCATTACTTGAATGCTACAAAATTGTCTTTGGGCTATGCAAGCTAAACTTCTCGGACTTTTTCGAATGGTCTAGAGTAAAGTCAACTAGAGCAAATCACGCGTATAAACTATGCGTTAAGGCAAGTAGAGTGAACTGTTACAAATACTCCTTTTTTGTAAGGACTGTCGGCTTGTGGAACGCTTTGCCAAAATACGTTTTAGAGGCTAATAACTTTTCAGCGTTCAAAAAAGCCCTGAAGGACTATTTAAAGATCTAATTTATTCATATATTTGTAATTGTAATTTTAATTAGTAATTTTTAACAATTCTTTTATTTAAGGAAGTTTAATATAGGGATAACCTCAAACTTTCCTTTTCCTCTGTCACTGTAATTGCATGCTTCAGTTTCATTGTGAATAAACCTGTATTGTACTGTACTGTGCTGTGCTGTGCTGTGCTGTGCTGTGCTGTGCTGTGCTGTGCTGTGCTGTGCTGTGCTGTGCTGTGCTGTGCTGTGCTGTGCTGTACTGTACTGTATTGTATTGTATTGTATTGTATTGTATTGTATTGTATTAATATAATTATATCAAAAAAATTTTTTGGACAAAATCAGTCTCATCATATATTGTAACCTTAATTAAGTCGAGTCAGCGTGTTCCCCAACAGGCTATCTCTATATCTATCTATATATATCTATCTATATATATATATCGCTATCCCAACAATAGACTATCTCTATAAAGCGACTAAGCCTATGGGCTGTGGCAAGGTGTTCGCACTGAAAGCGATTAGCCAATTACTGCGTAGGTGGTATTCTTTGTCAAACCGCAAGTATTTTTCTCAAATTATCCGGTTGGTTGGCGTCAAGTCGGCATTTCTTAAATAACAGACTTGAGGTAATTAAAAGTGACCCGCTATACTTATCCAGTAATGGCGAAACAACTACGGCCCCTACTACCCACGATGTCAGATTCAAATTTACAAACATCACGAGTACTATTAATCCCTAATTGTACGAGCGACATCGCATGATTACTTGTTTATTATTAGCATGACAACATTGCATGATACGTACTTCTCAATGTCAACATCATATTCTCTCGCCAAAGCCCAGTCCTGCCAGACTTTCAACCAAAATTTGGTGCTTTTGTTTGTATTTTCATTTAGTTATTTTGTTCAAGCAAAATTTGGTACTTTTGCTCGTATTTTCATCTAATTCCTCCACGGCAATTTCATTTCACATTTGTGTTTAAAATGCCTTTCCGCCATTTTGTTTGTTTTGGGAAAATCATTAATTGTACTGCAGTACAATTAATGAAATAATTGTACTCCTCTCAACCAATCAGCATCCAGTAATTTTGTCATGCTAATAATAAACAAAGTTAAAGTTTGGTTTCAAAGTTTGTTTTCCGCGTTTTACCCTCTTTTCCGCGTTTTACCCTCTTTTTCGCGTTTTACCCTCTTTTCCGCGTTTTACCCCCTTTTCCGCGTTTTACCCCCTTTCCCGCGTTTTACCCTCTTTTCCGCGTTTTACCCCCTTTTCCGCGTTTTACCCCCTTTTCCGCGTTTTACCGTCTTTTCCGCGTTTTACCCTCTTTTCCGTTTCCGTATTTCCGGTTCCTCCTGTCCGTTCCGTTTCCGCGTTTTACCCCTACCCGTGGTTACTGGCAGCGTTTCGCGTGTCCGTATTGTCAGGTACGAGTGCTGACTTGGGGTCTCCTTTAAATGACAGTCGCTCAAGATTACCTTCAAAATGTCCGGGTGAATTGAGGTGCAGTTTAAGGGGTTGTTCCTCATATCGATTTCCTTAAAGCCTTGTAGTTCGGTCATGTCCTTTTCTGTTAGTGTTGTTATCTGATTGTCGTTCATAAGTAATATAATGTAATGTCCGTTCCCTCTCACTCCACGTGGCAGGTGTGTGAACCCTCCATTCGCGCAATTCACCAATTTAACCTTTTCCGAACACGTGCAAGACGGTGGACACGCCAAAACAGAAAAAAAATCAACAAAATTACCGACAATGTTAGACACAACATTGTGAAAAGCTAAGAATGCCTTAAAAGCGTGCTGTAATAAGACACCCTTTTCGCTTGCAATACAACACTTGTCATGTTAACATGGGAAACTGCTTTGGACAGCCGAACACCTAGTATAGGACTGCGTGAAATTTTCAAACGCATCCGCTGTCTTTGTACTTGCTGCGGTGGGATGGAAAAGAAGAAGGAAACCCTTCTGAACAAAATTTACTACAACCCCAAGCACGAGGCTAGTTTTGGAGGTTTAGAAAAATATTATCGTGCGGCGAGAGCAATGAAAAACAACCTAAATATTAGTCGAAATGACGTGCGTGAATGGTTACGCTCGCAAGAGACATATACCTCACACAAGCCTGTCCGGAAAAATTATTCTCGAACGAGAGTTTTTGTTGCCGGTATAGATGATCAATTTGAAGCTGCATGATTTGGCGGACGTTCAGTCGCTTAGTGCACAGAATGATAACTATATTGTTTGTATCGACTGTTTCAGTAAATATGCCTGGGTTAGAGCGGTGAAAAATAAGACAGGGCCAGTCGTTACACGTGCTTTTCGAGACATTTTGGAACAAGGCCGGGTGTCGAACTATCTCCATACCGATCAGGGCACAGAGTTTTTGAATTCACAATTCCGAAATCTCATGAAGCAATACGGTATTCAGTTTTTTACCACCAACAGTGAGACAAAAGCAAGCATAGCCGAAAGATTTATAAGGACATTAAAACAAAAAATATATCGTTATTTCACGGCAAAAAGCACTGTCCGTTATATTGACGCACTGCAAGATATAGTATATACTCGTACAATCACACTCTTCACAGGTCGATCAAGGGAATTCCAGCTAATGTGACCAGGAAAAATGAATTCCAAGTCAGGCAAACGCTTTATGGAGAGAAAAAACCCAATCCGAAATTTAAGTTCAATGTAGGTGATCTAGTAAAAATAAGCAAGACGCGAAGACCATTCGAGAAAGCGTATAATCAAGGTTGGACAGAGGAAAACTTTACCATAGCTAAACAAATTGCACGAAATCCACCAGTGTACAAATTTAAGGATTTTGGAAACGAAATTCTTGATGGGATTTACGCTCTGATAAATAAATATAAATAAAGTTGATGGGATAACGCTATAAATAAATTCACCTATATAAACTTTGTCGAGCAAGGTTCACAAGTCACAACAAAGCGTGTTTGCATATCGCCGTCTTTTTTATAGCATTTTTTCTTCGCCATTAATGCTCAGAATTTCATGACATTTCGTGTACATGTAGCCAAAAGTTACCTGGTTGTTTTGCTATAGATAAAAGTTGTGGATGGATGCCCGATGTAAAATGTTTTTAAAATCCACCATTTCATCTTCGAAAATAAATCTCTCTTGTATTTTAGCAGTCTTCCTGCCTGTTGTAGTTCAACCCACCCTGAAACCAAATTTTTACTATAAATACGTCACAAACTATTTATTTTTTCAACCAATTAAATCACATAATTTTTTTGAAAATGTGACAAATGAAATAACCTCTAGCATCCCGCATGGGTACATCAAAATTTTCATCAGACCATGAAACGTTTGTACAAATTTTTCATCTTTCTTGCAGTCTTGACCAAGGGAGCACGCAGGAGTTCGTTTTGCCTGTCTTTATTACCTTCGTTTTGTTTTCGTCCGCCATTTTGAAAATATATGCAGTATCCTTCATTAATGTATCGCAGGCGCTAATCACGAAGTTTTTAAATTTTCGGTTTCGGAACTCATTCGGCCGAACTTCGTGATTAGCGCCGGCGATACATTAATGAAGGATACCGCATATATTTTCAAAATGGCGGACGAAAACAAAACGAAGGTAATAAAGTGATTAAAAGACAGGCAAAACGAACTCTTGCGTGCTCCCTTGAACAAACTAACAAACGGACAAACTCACAGGCAGAATATACCGCAATTCAAAACACTACTGACCCGCACACTTCCGCTCCTGTACTTTGTTGTCATTTATTGTATATGTCGCTGTGTATTAATAATAATAATAATATTGCAATACTTGTAACAAACAATGACTTTTGTATAAAGTAGCGTTAGATTTGTGGCAAGATGATACGCTAATCATATACATGAAAAAGCGCAAAAATAGCCAACATTCTTTCTCGTTTGCGTGGAAATGCAGAAAATATCGAATGTAGAACAATAGATTTACGATAATCAACAGGCCGCGTCGAGAATTGTAACATTGATTAAATTTGTATAATTTCTATTTAATGAACTGTCAATCAAATTTCAGTAAGTAAATAAGGTCATTAAGGTGTGTCAAATTGATAGTATAGTTACAGGCCTTAAAATATCGGTCGTTCACGGACATTGGTCCGACCCATTCGTGAAATTGTCCGACGTCGTGAGGAAGCCACCGGACATCCTGTCCGACATAAGTGAAACTGGGGTTTACTGTTTGTCCGACCCAAGTGTATTGGTGTCCGACCGAACTGTAGCTTTGTCCAACGTAAATCAATCCGCAGTAAGGCTCGTATGGCAAATGGAAAATAAAGGTCAATTGAGTATTACATACGAGTAACATACGAGTAACACACAAGTACATACGAGTACATACGAGTAACACACGAGTACATACGAGTAACATACGAGTACATACGAGTACATACGAGTAAAACACAAGTACATACGAGTACATACGAGTATAATACGAGTACATACGAGTAGAATACGAGTAGTAAACTTGTTTTTAGTGTTTGTAGATTGAATACAGGCAAAAAGATCGTCTTCTCTGTCGAAAAACGTGGAATGGGGGAATGGAGGAACGGGGAATGGAGAACGGGCAATGGGAGAACGGGGAATGCGGGAACGGGGGAATGAAAAACGGGGGGGACAGGGGAATCGGGGAATTATGAATTATTATTAATACTTAATAGTAATCATATGTACGGGGGGGAAAAGAACAGAAAAAAGAAACAGAAATCCGATAGGATAAACGGGAATTGGGGAATTACGAAACTATAAAACGGACTCTGGTGTCTTGGGAATTAGAAAACCGCTCAATGAATTAAAACTAGTAAAGAAATTTAGCGAAGCTTTCCTTTATTAGTACAGCGTATAATAAAAAGGTCAATCCACATTGCTTATGTCCGATCATTAAGTAATATCAATAATAATAACATTGCTTATGTCATTACTAATATACTTGCTATATAATAAAACAAACTTAAGGACTGGATGCAAGCCCAAGGCAATCCTTATGCTCCACATGATATCTTAAAGTGATTATCCTATTTTAAATATCTTACAAAGCAAAACTAACAAAACACAAAATACTTCAAAATACGCAGATTTTAAGCTAGCAATTTAAGTTGGCAAGTACGTTTCTAAAGGACCCAGCCGAACTCTCCTGCAAGCCTTTGGACCTGCTCCACTTTGAAAAGGGAAGAAAAGTCTGGAGGAACGAGAACGTCGCCAAGAAAGCTTGGATACTTTGCTCTGATGCAGGCTGATCGGAAATGAAAATGCACGTTCTGAGGCTCACTTGAAAACTGGATTTGTCCTGCAGGGCCTTTTTTAACATACAAGCTGGGGGGCCATTTGCCCCACCCCCAGTCCCCCCTTGTGCCCCCCCCACACGAAATCACATTTTGCACCCCTCCCAGAAAAAGTCCCTTTTCCTAAATTTATACAAACAAACCAGCGAAGAATAACAAATTGATAAACGGAACGTAAGTTTTAGGCTTTATCCTTTGTCCTTGTTTAACGAATCGATTTAAAGGACTGTGTCACCGCGTGCGCATCCTACGTGTTTCTAACACTAAGTAATGATAAATTATTGTTAATATTTTTAAAATTCTTTGTGCGTTTTTTCCTTCTTTTATTTCAAATAGAAGTATAGTTAGGATAAATTTTAGAGCAAATTTAGATGCTCAGAAGCCAGGAAATGGCATTTTTGGGCTTCAAATTTCAAAAACTTTTCTGGGGAAGTATGCCCCCAGACCCCCCTATTCATTCACGGTATGTCGGCCACACACGTGACCCACGGCCATTGCTATCCCCCTTTAATAATAAGTAATGGATAAATTATTGTTAATATTTCTTTTATTTTTTCTGCATTTTTTCCTTGTTTTATTTCAAATACAAGTATAATTAGCATAAATTTTAGAGCAAATTTAGATGCTCATAAAGCAGGAAATGGCATTTGAAAGGTTCAAATTTAAAACATTTTCTGGGGGAGTATGTCGGCCACACACGTGGCCGTCGGCCATTGCTATCCCCCTCTAATATATTATCTGACAGAAAGGTCCCTTTTCAAAAAATGCCCCCCACGGGAAAATCCTTAAAAAAGGCCCTGTTGTCCTGTATTTCGGTCTCGGAACTGTCGTATGTCGTCACGGTATACGTTAACTGTGTAGTTCGTATATTTGCCTAGCCACATGTTGTGATTGAGGCTATGTGAGGATTGTAAGTTTATCACCTAGTACTATTTAAGTATAGATGCAGTTAGGTTATGTGCATGCTCACAGGGTTTTGAAAGCAAACCATGCTGTGAAATATGTGAATCCTATGGTTTCGGTCATGTATCTAACTATCTAGGTAGAATACCTAAAAGTAGATGTTGTACAAACTACCAAGTTGTGGTTTATAGAATCGGGCAGAC